GTTTGAGAGTAACCAGCTCACTGGTAAGTTTTCAATGCTTTTTCATATTCAGTTAAATTGTAACCGATTACGAGCAGCTAGGGATAATCTAAGAGCAGCTAGGGATAATCTATTAAGGCTGAGGGTGTAGCTCGGTGGTAGACTGTTTGTGTGCCAGACTCAAGGCTGTGAGATCAACTTCTGGCAGCCCAGATTTAAAGAAAAAGCAAGAAAGGACCTTCGAAGGTGGGGTTACCACACCAAAGGGTCTCAGGACCGTTTTATGATGAGCCAAAAGCAATGTGGGAAGACACCCAGGGAGCTACCCTGCAAAGTCAGCTCCCCCGAAGCATCAAAGTATGGGTGTTTATTTGCAGAAGTGAATGTGAGTTACTGGACAGGCATAACTCAACCAGAGGCAGCAGAGGGGACAAGCCAGGGACACAGAGCCTTGCAGCAAGTGATCACAGAGGGCGGAGGAAGTGGCTTTGACAAGCTGCTGGGACAGTGCACGGGGGACCCACAGGGGAAGGAGTCTGATGGTATGGCAGCTTGGAGGTACAGCGTTTGCAAAACTGCCAGGAAACTGATCGCAGACTCTCGAAGAGCGTGCTGGACTTGGGAATGATACCAACACAGGTGTTACTCGGGCAGCCTGTTCACTCAGCACCTGCCAGGCTGGGTTCCTCTGTCTCCCCAGCATAGGAACAGGCCTTGTCTTCCATAGCTCTCCTCTCCTCTTACATTCCTGTAGACACTGAAGTTTCCTGAAAAAAGCCAAGTAGCCAAAGACTCTTCACAGCCACATAACAAACACCGAAGTACTGTTATGTAAGGAGAATTCTTCCCACCAGCCTGGTCCCAGTGCTGCATCAACCCCAAATAACACACAGAGACTCTACTAGTTACAATGTTGTTGGCCAATTTCTGGGGCTTCTCACTGGCTATTTCATTCTTAAGTATTAACCCATGACTACTAATATATATTTCTATAAGGACTTATCTTTCCAAGGACACCCTCCTTTTCTCCTGGGAGATCACATGGCGGCCCCTACCTTTGACTACATTTCCCAGAATGCTCCTCGACTTCTAGTCCCACCTATCTGGCTTCCCTATTGGCCAACAGTGCTTTATTCATCAACCGGTAGGACAACGTATACACAGAAGGACTTTCCTCTTGACTGTTCACTTTTGAAAGGCTTTTCAGGAACCCCAAAACCCACCTTCCCCATGACAGGAACACTGCTGAGATCCATGGCCAAAGGCCACCTGTTAAGCACCTGTGGCCCTCTGCATCACGCACTGAAGAGTCAGAGCGAGCACCAGGAGCCGGCTGAGCCTACCTTCAGCCTGAGCGGCCCTCCCAGTGCCTCATGCAAGGCGCTTGGTGATGCCACAGAACAGGAACACAGAATAAAAGCGATTGGCTGTAGCCGCTTCTAACAGAGTCGGCAGCCTCTTCTAAAGACCACCTGCCACGGTGCCAGGACTTTACTCTCCCAGTGGGTGGGCTATGATAATGTAGACAATGCTGACAGCCAAGGATGTAATCACTCCCCCTCACGAGGCAAGGCTTGGACAGAGAGCTACACTCCGCAGCCCTGACCCCTGAGTCAATGGACCCAACGCAGGTGTCCAGGAGGCCTGGGTGCCAGCATCATCACAAGACAGAGCAGAACTCAGGCTGGGGAAGCTGACGGGAAACCTTATTCAGCCTTGCTTCTCAAGATGGCACAGTATACATCAGCTGCTAGGCCATGAAGACAGCGAGTGAGACGGGATCCTCCCTGGCTTGGAGATGAGACGGAGTGGTCTAGGCCTTCCTGTTCTCAGGGGACAGGCGGGAGGTGACGGAGGCTGACTCTGTAGACCAGCAGATGTCTGTTCTCGGAACTACAGGTCAGGGAGGATTCACGGTCTTCAAGGCTTCAGTCTGACACCTCAGTTTTGCAGAAGAGCCCTGAGCCCCCCCAGGCTGGGCTCGCACAGCCGAGTCCTCAGTGGGCCTGCTCCTATTTCCAGGGTGATCCCCTGCAGACACACGGGGTCCTTCCCCACACCTCAGTTCATCCTTCACGGAGGCCAGAGCACAGGGACAACACGGGAGGCTAAGGAAGGGGACTCTGGTTTGTCAGTCAACCTCCGGAGCTGCGGGTCCTCCTCGGGGCACAGCGATTACACAGTGATGAGGGATCAGTCTTCAGAGCCCTTCCCTACGGAAGTCATCTGTCACCGCCCAGTCAGAAAGTAACAGAAGCTCCGTATCTGCTCTTAACGGGGAACGGGCTCTAGGTGGCTGAACAGAGAGCTGACATAATCTGGGAGGCCAGAAGAGCTGTGCTGGGCACTAAGAGATGGGAGTGAGTTTACTGGGGTGACAGTGACAGGAGGGGGAGGGGGAGGGTGTGTGTGAAATCAGAACCTCAGTGAAAAGGAGAAAGTAAGGGTTCTTTTGTATACAAAAGGAAGACACTTGCCACGGGGGACTCACAAAGTAGAAAGTCACTTGGAAGCTTTTGGTGGGACCGGATGTGATCCGATTTGTACACACAGAAAAGGCCGCTGTGTGGGCAGTGGTGTGGAGGGGCCAGGTGGACCCCCACGCGGTTTGTCCGGAGCAACTGTAGAAGTCCAAGCAGACTGGGCTAGGCTAGGGAGACTACCAAGCCGTGGAGAAAAAGATCTAAAGACCATTGACGCTAACATCTGCGGGTGAGATGCTTGCTGGACCAGCGCGAGCACCTGAGCTCGGATCCCCAGGCCCCACATACAAGCTGGGAGCAGCAGTGCGTGCTGCTCACTCCAGCGCTAGTGGGGGGGGGCACGGGACAATCTCAGGGGCTCACAGGGCTCACAGGGCAGCCTGCCCAGCTGTAAGGGTGAGCTGGAGGCTCAGCAGAAAACTAAGACGACACGGGACACCGACCTGTGCCTTCGGCATTCGCTCGCATAGGCAAGCGTGCCCTTTGTCCTCTCCACGCACACAAAGATATTTCTCAAAAGTGAAGTTAAAGTCAGTGGGATTAGAAAGGAGGCCAAACCCTCAAAATTTATAGACCGTCAAAAGACATCTTACCTGTGGAGAAGAGTAGAAGGCAGACAGCTGACAGAGACAGAAGTGGAGGCATGTTGTCAGACCTGAAGGGCCAGGAAAAGAAAGCAGACATCAGCAGTGAGTTCTGTGACTGGCCGCAGCATGTCTCTACAGACATACCCAAGGACAGGACCCTGGAGGCCTCAGCATGAACGCTGCAGCCTGGAGAAGACAAGTGCCCCAAACCATGAAGGCTTTCCCCAAACACTCTAACCTTAAGCAGTCATGTGACATATTTCCAGATATCACTGTTGCCTCAAATCCAGTCAAGGTCTCCACAGCCTTTAGGAGAGATTTCCTGTGGGAAGAGTCCCCATTCTCCACCCCCTCGGGGTCCCAGCAGGCCATGATCCCTTTTAAGGCAACTCCAGTTCTCCAGAAGCAAGCAAGGCAAAGACTAATTGCCCACCCTCATTTTCTGTATCTTCTACCAAGTCAGGAAACCCACTCTCCACACTCTCCAGTTACTGAGACTGCGGAGAACAGCTGCAAAGTGCCCCGGCTTGTTTTCTGTTTCCCTGGTGAAACACCATGACCGAGCACAGCTCGGGAAGATGGGGGTTTATTTGGCTCCCGTCATTGAGGGAAGCCAGCAGGAATTGGGACACTGGAACTCACCCCGGAGACCAAGCCGCTTCCTAGCTTGTTTGGCCTCCTTTCCTATATAATACAGGAAGGGACCACCTGCCTAGGGGCAGCACCACCCACAACGGGCTTCGGCCTCCTCCATCCACCACTAATCAAGAAAATGCCACCACAGGCCAGTCTGCTGGAGACATTTTCTCAACTGAGGATCCCTCTTCCCAGATGACTCTAGCTGTGTCAAGCTGACAAAAACCAACTAACCAACCAAAGAAAAACCTGCATACTTGGTGTTCCCAGGAAAAATGATGTACCAGGAGAGTCCCAGGTACATCAAAGGGAAAGGGGGCTGGGGAGGCTGTTGGACGGCTGAGAGGGGGCTCCTGTGATCCCGGATCCTGGGTCTGCCAGCATGGCAGACGCGGGACTTTCTCTCAGCGTGAATCTTTCCTCATACCTTACACTGGATGTGGGACCACCTGCCAATGGGGTAGACAGCAGGTGGAGGAGGCAGTGGGAAGCAAAGTACTGTGGGACTCAAGAAACTCCCCGCTGCTGTCTGTCCTGCTTCTTAGCTTCCGTGTGGCTTTCTGGGTTTGCAACCTCTAATCCTGAGCGTGTGCAGAAGCCAGGGGCTCATGCCTGTAAAATGTCTCTGGAAGTACATTCCCAGCTTGCTGGGAGGTTATGGGAGGTTCCTGCTTACTGGGGCACGAGGAACACAGGCCCCTCGTTCCACGCCACAGGCTAATCTAAGCAACTTCTGTGGATATGCCTCTGCTTGCCCAGCTGCGAGTTCTCGGTACCCTACCTTTCTGCTCATTAACACAAAATTTATGTTGGCACTCTGCGAGTGGGAACTGCATGGAAGACAGTACCCACAAATGCTGGTCACGTGGCATCTCTCTCGCCTGGCCCCGTTTGTCACACAGCCAGACTGTCCTGCGATCTGACTACCTTGACTGCCAGAGGCCACCAGGAATGGCATCTTGGTCTCTGGAGGAATCCTGGTACCTGTAACTGCCTGGTCGTATGCAGAAGGATGGTCACAAGCCTGGGTAACACAGTAATGCCATCTGCAGAGGGCTGGAAGGAACCTTTCGGGGACACCTTGGTGTTCATACACCCACTGAATTTGCTGTTGCCAAGCTGGTGAGCTGTTATGTGGTATCCTGCAAAGTGTCCTTAGCACCCAAGGCTCTTCCCACCCCAAGCATCACAGATATCCAGCTTATCATGGTCTTGGTAAATCTCAAAATATTCTCACAACTGAAACAGTCAAACCCTATGCCAAGGGGGGGGGGGGAATCAACCGGGTCTATCTGTATTGTCCCAGCTGCCCTTGAACTCCTGGGCTTAAGTGTGCCTCAGCCTCCGGAGTGGCCGTGGATGCACATGTACACTATGTACAGCCCAGACAAGTTTTCAGACAAGGATGAATTCTGCAGCAAGAACAGACAACCGCTTTTACCAAGGAAACATCCATTACAGGCTGCTACCAGGCTCCACACAATTCAGGTCCTCTCTCTAACCCTCCAAAGCCAGGCCATTACAATCCCCATGGTGTCATCCCCATTACAGATGCCAAACCACAGGGCTCCTCAGTGGATTAGAGTCCATTCTAGCCTCCCAGGGCACTGCTCCATCCATCGCCTCCTCCAGGACCCTGGGAGGACTCTAGGAGAACGCTGAGCGAGGAAGAGCACTATTGGGCCGGAGGCCCAAGGCAGCGCTGTGGTAGAAGTTTGGGATCCAGAAGAAGGCGGCTATGAGCCATGGGGTGGAACAAAGAAAGGGAATCGGGAATTGTAATTACAAGCATGACACACCCCGAATCTGGTCCTTCGGCAGTTCTCACCGGCTAGCACCTGCCTTTAATTCCTATACTGGAGCACGTGGTGAGGTTTCTGGGGCCTTGTGCATTCACGCTGACAGTCTGCAAGCCAGAGGCAGGGAGCAACGCTGCTTGCAAAACCTCGCCAAGCCCTTTCCGTCACAGAATGCCTTGTTCACTGCCCCCTTTCTCCCGTTCTGTTACCTATGCTCACCACACATGTTATTCCAGGCTTCCAGGCAGCTCACAGATGGGCTCGGAGGCTGCGCCCCATCCCCCCCCCTCGGGTTGTCTCACTTTTGCAAGCACCTGCACCAGGTGAGTGAGGGTCTGTGGCTAAATCACCCCCATCATACTAAGAAACTGAGAACTACATTTCTCAGACGCCCATCAAGGAACAAAAGCCAAAGCGAGGGTGGGAAAAGGGAGACCACTTCCACCTCGTGAGAAAATGGAACTCCTCCCACAGACATTAGCGTGCTCCTTTTAAGCCTTCTCCAGTCTGCAGGATGGAAACCCGAGTTCTATATAACAGCCAATGCCCGAGCAGGGAGACTGAAGCCAGAGGAAGGCTCCCACGCGGTCAGAAGTCCTTACTTGTCTTTTGCTGTAACAATCGCTGTCCTTGTCTTCCACATAAAATACCTTGCTCAGGCCCAAAGACCTGAGGACAATTTTTTCTTTCTAGTGTGATATGCCAGAGAGAGCCCCTCCTGCCCTCCCCTTCCCCACTCTGCCCTCTCTCTCTGTCTTGTCTGTTTTAGACAAGATATTGCTATGTTACTGAGGCTGGGCAGGAACTGCTAAATTCAAACAATCCTCCTGCTTCAGTTTCCCAAGTAGCTGGGATTACAAACATGCATCACCATGGCCAGCTAGGGAAAACATCCTAAGGCCTGTCCAGGGCAGGCTGGAGAAGGCTAGGCGACAGAGCTGAGCCGGGTGATGTTTGCAGTGGGCGGACAAGTCTCCCGCACGTTCATTCTACAAAAACATAACCCCTGCCCTTCCCTCGTCCTCAGACCGACGAACCTCCCACTAGCCCAGGCCTTCCAGGTGTTAGACAATGACAATGCTTTGTTTCGTTTTTCCAGACAGGTTTTCTCTGTAGCCTTGGAACCTGTCCTAGAACTGGCTCTGTAGACCAGGCTGGCCTCGAACTTAGAGATCTGCCTGCCTCTGCCTCCCAAATGCTGGGATTTGTTTGGGGAATATTATTTTAAGGTGTGTGACTAGTGTATGCTGCATTTGTTTAACTCTGTGAAGCTGTGTTACTGTGCCTGTCTAAAACACCTGTTGGTCCTAATAAAGAGCGGAACAGCCAATAGAGAGGTAGGAGCGAGGTTAGGTGGGCTGGCAGGCAGAGGGCATGAATAGAAGGGGAGCCGAGACGGGAGCAGCAAGAGAACAAGGAGAGGAGGGTGTCAGGGGCCAGCCACAGGGTACGAAGGAAAGTAAGATAATGCAGAAGAAAAGACAAAAGCACAAAGAGAAAAAGTACACGAGATAATTTAAGAAACGCTGGCAAGAAACAAGCCAAGCTTAAGGTCAGGCAGGCATTCATAACTAAAATAAGCCTCTGTGCGTAATTCATTCAGGAGCTGGGGGGCCTGAGGGAAAAAACATATAATGGTGCCCAACAGGGGTGCCCATTTGCGTTTCTTTTTTAATTGTTGCTGCTTCTTAAGCCAGGCTGTCCTGTTCAGCATTGACACTCTGCCGCTACCAGCAGCAGCTAGGCTGCAAGAGCTGAAGCCTGGGGGAATTCTGTTTCCTCGGGCACCAACTCTTTCAAAGCTACTAAGAAAACATTTAAATCTCTGTCCCGCTAAGAAATCAAGATTCAAAGGTTGAGACAGAGTCCCCAAGAGACTGAATAGCAAACAGCTCACCTCTCAGCATCTCCCAAGAAGTCCCCCTGCTTTTTCCTCGCCCTCCTTATAAACCCTTCTCCACCTGGCTCCTCCATACAACTTCCTGTCAGCTAGTTGCCCACCCAGCCTCCTGCCTGCAGGTGAATTTTCTTTCATCAAACACATCTTTGCATCATTAAACAAATGTTCCAAAGCATAAACAAAAATAACAAGCCTTAAATTAATATTTTACAACAGGGATTAAAGGCATGTGCCACCACCACCTGGCAGATTTTTTTTAAACAAACTGTCTTCCAGGAAGCTGGTCCGTTCCCCATTTTCTGCACCTTTCCCCACTATTCCTGTAAAACCCAACCTGGCAGATAAATACCAAACTTTGTGTTTTTACACTTCCTTTGGGGGTGGGGCAGTGTCAAGACAGGGCTTCTCTATATAATGGCTCTGACTGTCCTGGAACTGGTTCTGTAGACCAGGCTGGCCTCGAACTCACAGAGATCCCGCTGCCTCTGCCTCTCAAGGCGCGCAGCACCACACCTGCCTTTACACCTCCCGTTTAACGTTTCTGTTGCGTTTTATTTTATAATTCTAGTTGGCTTCCAACTATTCTGTCAGGCAGCTTTCAGGAAAATGGGCTCCTGGCAGCTTTCTTTGATGTTGCTGACTTCACTGGATAGGGAGTTTAGTTTCTTTCTTCATTCAACCTATTCCTTCTATTAGCATTTACTGGAGCACACAAGAGTAAAAACAGCATCACTCCTAAGTAGGCCCTGAGCCCACAGTGGGGCCTTGCCTCCCAAGGGAGAAGGAGAGAGAGGGTCTCTACCTCCGTGCCAGCGTTCTTTCAGAGAAATGCAAGGCACGTGTGAAGTGTTAAATGTTTTAGTGACTATAGAAAGATGAACTCCATCTTATCACTATTGACCACAGGTCCCAAGGTCTCAGCGTGTCATCAATGCATACATTACTGAACCTTGGAAACCCAGCAGCTCACTCTCTTAACAGTGATGGTGCATGTGGCAAATGGCCGTGCTGCTCCTAAGGTAGCCTGGAGGAAGTCACTGCTGATGCCCTCCCACCCTTAAGGTGATTTCTCGCCGTCTCCCTGCACTCCCCCCCCCAGTCAGGCTTACCGTGGAAAGACCCTATTTCAACTCTGGGCATCCTAACGTCTTTTAACCTCTGGCTGCTTCACGTTTCATCTCGTGACTGAAGCTTCAACATAGGTTGGGAACGTACCACTTGCCTGTGTTCTATCCTAACACCCCCAACCTTGCAAACACATCGGGGAAGGTAGCAATGCGAGCCTGGCTCAGAAATAGCCCTTGCTGAGACTTTTCACCATAGCCTGCCCCGGAGGTTTTCTGGACTAATTCGTGAGGTCCATTGGAGAAGTCGCTAGCCCAGGCACAGGCTTCTCGTATCAGAAACTGGGCAGCTACTTGACGTGATAGTCCTTCCTTTCTGGAGAGTTGCGTTACTCTGCGGGACATTATCCGAAGTTCGTGAGCTCTGATGCAGGCTTTCTTTCCCTTGCCTTTTGGGCCCCAGTGCTTAGTTACAGAGTAACGGCTCCTTCAGTTTTTTTGTTGCTGTTTTTGAGACAGGGTTTCTGTGTAGCGCTAGCTGTCCTGGAACTCGCTCAGTAGACCAGGCCAGCCTCGAACTTGGAGACCCACCTACCTCTGGGAGTACTGGGATTAAGGTGTGTACCACCACTGTCTAGCTGCTGTTATCATGTGATTTTACAAATTGCCCTGTTGCTGGATTTTCTTGTCCTCCCAGGCCCTGCCCCCCTTGAGCCCCAAATAAACACACAAAGACTTATATGATTATTAAACTGTCTTCTGATGGCTAGGGCCTCTTATCGACTAGCTCTGTCTTCATTATTAATCCATTTCTATTAATCTAGTACTTCCATGTGTATTTTTCCGGAGAAGGGTCCAGTCTTGTTACTCCTTCCTCTTCTACATGGCATCTCCTTTCAGTCTCTCTCTGCCTACCTTTCCCAGAATTCTCCTCTCCTACTCCTGCCTATCTCCCTGCCTCTATTGGCCAGTGTTTTATTCATCAACCAATAACATACAGAAGGACATCCCCCATTACCCTGTAGTGTGTCAGCTTCAAACACACACCATGGGTTCTACGCAGAGATGCGTGAGAACTTTAGCACTCTTGAGACATGAGTGTGGTGGAATGACCGTGGCTTTGAGATAGCATTTCAGTGCTCCTCGACCATTCCTGCAGTCTTTCGGTCTCATCTCCTGATGGTAGCGCCCATCCTAATTCTTCACCTCCATGATGAGAGCACACTTGAAGAAAGGGGAGAGGAGAGTCAGGAGCCCACAGAACGGCCATGTGCATCTCTGTCCCACTGGGCAGCCCATTGGGAGCAGCGAACACCTCGCTCAGCAGTAGAGCCCAGGAACCTAAGGGAGCCAGTGCAGTGCTCCTCAGGGGCTGCAGGTCAAGACGGTGGGGCGGGCTAAGAACAGGGGTCAGAACAAAGATATGGTGGGGATTCTAGGGCAGAGAGGGCATCTCAAAGGCCCCCCTTGAGTGAGGTCAGGAGCCTCAACTTCAAGGTGGGGAGAGGAGCCATGCTGTATGCACAGGTGCCTTTGGGGAAGGGACTTTGAACTCAATCAAGCAGCGCTTCTTTGAAGGCGAAGGTTCGAGTCTGCCGCACTCTGCTCCGCCAGTGCTCAGCAGCCAACACTGCTGCCACACTGGCAGCGCTTCTCCAAACTGACCTGGGTCGTCAGCTTGCTTTGAGTCCTCACAAGGTATGCGCCTTAATACTGACACAGCTGTACACCCTGGAGAGGGACAGGGACAGCATCTGACTTGTAACAAGTTCTAGGGGCCCTAACTCCCTGGAACGCTCTCACCAGAGGGGTGAGCACTGTTACCACCAAGCTTCCAGACTTTTTGGCATCACTTGAAGTTCTCAGAGTTCAAAGCAAGTTCTGGCAAACAACTCAGGTTGGGCAACTAAAACCCTTCATGGAACCAGTTTTAGGTTGTACGAAAGTTGTGGCCTCCCTGGGAAGATGAGTAGAGGATATAAACAGTAATTTTAGCCACATGAACAACCATGAGCTAATGCCCAGCTCACCAACCTGCCCACTGGGGATGAGCCCACCTGAAGCAGAGCAACAACTCGATGCTTCCAGTGGGCAGGCTTACGAGGCCTTAAGTCCTGTCAGGAATTTGACAGTAGACTCTAGACCAGTGGTTCTCAGCCTTCCTAATGCTGTGAGCCCTTAACACAGTTCCTGCTGTGGTGGTGACCTTCAACCGTACAATCATTTTCATTGCTACTTCACAACTGTAATGTTGCTATTGTTATAAATCGTAATGTTAATGTTTTCTTAGGCCACCCTTGTGAAAGGGTCTTACACACACACACACACACACACACACACACACACACACACACACACCCCGTCTTGACCCACAGATTGAGAACTGCTGCTCTGGATCCCCTAGACAAGTCTAGATGAATCTAGACAGAAGATTCATTTATGCAGTAGAGCAAAATTCCAGAGCATTCATCACTTCCACTCCCGGTTTTGAGCCTTTGGCAATTCTAAGCAGCTGCAGAAAAATAACCCTGGGAAAACAAAGTACTTAGGAATAGTCCTCTAGTCCACTCAACAGGTCTCCTCCCCAAAATCCTGACACTTGTCAGGCCTCTGTCCAGGAGGTCGCCTGTTGGTGGAGACATGGTCCCTGTTTTAATACCCTCAGTGACAGCCAAGCTGGATGGGTACCGTGAGGGCGCCTGAAGCCCATTCCATGGCCTTGTACAACAACCAAGTGTGTACCACACTGTCAGGCACACAGCTGGCGTCCATGGAATGCTTGTGGAAT